AAGCAGACTCCCTGCTGAGCAGGGAGCCCGATGCGGGACTCGATCCCGGGACTCCAGGATCATGACCTGAGCCGAAGGCAGTCGCCTAACCAACTGAGCCACCCAGGCGCCCCCCTGGGATCTTTCTAACTAGAGCTGATGGGACAGGTTAATTTCCTCTGTAGTGAAGCTATAAATATGTGAGTCAGGAACAGTCTTGTCCCCATTTCTTGGAGTGTAAGTTGGTTTTAAAGAATGGTCCCAACATACAGAAAAGGAGCAGAGATGAGAGACACATTTTTCTCTGTCTAGGATTGGTTGTTCAACTGTTCCTTTGAATCTGTGAAGGATTCCAGTTTCCTTCCAGAAACTTCCCCTTTCTCCATAGTTGACTAGTCAGCTTCAGGTAGAGGAACTGGGTGACTGGGTGACAAGGAGTTTGTTTTCTTCTGCACATCCTTTTATCCATTTTGAATTTTGAATGTATTAATGTAAAATCTAGGGGCACTGAGTCGTTAAGCATCTGCCTTTGGCTCAGGTCATGATCCCAGGGTCCTGGGATCGAGCCCCACATCGGGCTCCCTGCTCAGCGGAAAGCCTGCTTCTCCCTTTCCCACTCCCCTCCTCACCCCCACATCCTTGAGATATGGGGCAGGGGCTGCTGACTGGGGACTCAAGTCATTTTATGGTCGAAGGATATTGGCCCTATAGGGATGGAAGTTGTGGGGACACCCAGGTAACCTACACTGGCTTTCACTTCTAAGACTGGATATGGGATCTCCCTTGAATCTTGAATCTTGAATGGGATACAAATCAAAGGCAGTTTTCTCTCATAACAGGAGAAAGGAAACCTACAGAAATTCCTATGCTGGGGGATGATGTTGGTTTAAAATACATCTCAAGAGATTTGAATAGAGGTGCTCAACCTTTAGGACACAGTGCCAACATCACACTAGAATTAAGACTCTTATGGAAGGGGACCTATGGGAACCTCACAGGATGGTGTGGGCCGGGAGAGGGGAGTGAGATTCTCACACCCAAGATCCCTCTTCTCAAGAATTACTCTTTTAGGGGAGCCTGGGTGGCTGTCGGTTAAGTGTCTGCCTTCATTGCAGGTTATGATCCCAGGGTCCTTGGATCCAGGCCTGTGTCAGGCTCCCTGCTCAGCAGGGGGCCTGCTTCTTCCTCTCCTCCCTGCTCATGCTCTCTTTCACAAATAAACAAATAAAACCTTAAAAAAAAAAAATTACTCTTTTAGAAATATCCCTCCACAATGGTTCCAAGTCAGTGGCAGATGGAATGCCAGCCATGGCATCCCCCAAATGGTCCTGTTCGGGGCCCCAGGCTGATAGGATGCTCTGTGGCATGTTTTTCTAACAATCAGATAAACCAATACCGTTAAATATATTCATAGGTAGTTCATCTTGAGCCCAGTGTGAAGTTCCCTCCTTCCCCTCACTCTCCAACACCCAATATTCTGGGACCAGATCTGAGAGAGCCAGTTATGGTGCCCAAAACCTTGACTGTAAGAGAACTGTCCCCTTGTCATTGTTCCTTGTCAGCGGTGTCTAGCTTAAACTTGCTGTCACATAATAACCTCCTGGAGAGCGTTAGAGACTAACATTTTCACTCCTGTGGCCTCTCAGAGCTATACACTCGGCATCTAAAGATTTTTTTAGGGACGTCTGCCTTCGGCTCAGATCACGGTCCCAGGGTCCTGGGATCGAGCCCCACATCGGGCTCCCAGCTCAGTGGGGAGCCTGCTTCTCCCTCTCCCCGCTGCTCATGCTCTCTCTCAAATAAATAAAATCTTTAAAAAAAAAAAAAAAGTTTTTTTTAAGTCATTTCTACACCCAACGTGGGGCTTGACCCTGCAATCAAGGGTCACATGCTCTACTGACTGAGCCAGCCAGGCACCCCTGGGCTTCTAAAGAGTTCTAAGGGGGCTATGAGGGATCTGTGGCACAGCAGACCCCAGGCTAATTGATAGCTTGTCTATGGAAGAGTCTTGGCATTCAAGGCTTTCCATGGCCTGGCCTTGACTTACCCTGAAACTGCATCCCCTACAACTTCCTCCCATCCTGAGTATGACCAGGCCAGTCTCCTGTCTTACAATCCCAACTACTGCCTCCCTGCCATGTTTCATCTTCATCCCACATTGTCTCCTGTCTCCTCTCCCTCTGCCCCATCGAACTCATCCTCCGAGCCTTGACTCCTCCAGTTCTGGAAGGACATATAAGAAGCTCTTAGCAGTGGGTATATCTCAACAGGGAGTCTGGTAGGAAAGAGTTTTACTCTTGTGTCTTTTTTTGGTTTTTTACCATTTAAATTTTTACTGCATGCATTTTTTAAATTAAAATAGTTAAACTTTAATTAACACATTATCAGAAGGAAAATAAAAATCCACCTTCAAAGCAGGACCCTTGACCTTTGTCCTGCTTCAGTAAGGACCCCTGCTGCCTGGTAGAGGTCCACACCGAGTGTCACCACCTCTGATCAGCTCCAGGGGTGGAGCTCACTCTAGACATACCCAAGGCCAGTGCCGGAGGCTGGGGTATCTCCCAGTGTAGCTGAGGGACACTTGGTGTGGCAGCATCCGCCAGACCAGGGTGTGGGAACCAGACGGCCCTGGCCCTCTCTCTGGCTCAGTCACTAACCCTCTTTGGGAATCAGCTCCTTGAGGTTAAAATAAAGGGAGGGACTCCAGCTATGTGTTCAGGTGTTCCAAACCCACGTCTCAAACGGAATTTCTCCCCCTTCACACTCTCAACAGCCACAAAAATAAATTAATTTAAAAAATTAAGAAAAAACTGTTGGTCTTATTCTCCGTGACTTAGATTATGAAAATATTGATTTCCTGCATATACTTTTTAAAGCAGAATACTGCCTCCTCCCAACCAAAACACTGGACTAGAGTGTTCCCTTCTGCTCTAAAAAAAAACCCAACCAAACAAACAAAAAAACTCCACTGAATTTGTCTGTTTAGCTTCTCAGCTCCTCTTCTTAGAAAGCAGAAGGTAGGGGGAAAAAAAATCCCAGTTAGTTGGATTCCAGCTCATTACGGAGCCACGCTGCAGAACCCCCTGGCCTTGTGAAAATGCAGTCTGCAATCTGGACACCGTTTATTTAATTTTGAGAATTCCCTTTGCATGGCAAAAAGGGGTCTGAGGAAAGCAGAGCGGCGCCGATGAGGGGAAGGGTGGAAGCAGAATGCTCACAAACGTGGTGCCGGGTGCCGGCTGCCCACCGTGCTCCCTGAACTGGGAGAGAAGCAGGATCAATGGGAGGAGCAGGAAAAGTCATTCTTGACACAAACAAGGGTCTTGGGGCGCGCCACCCCATCCCAGTGCCTGGTCATGCAAGATGCAGAAATGGAGATCATGGCCCCTCAGGACCACGGAGCAGATGCACCAACTCAAGGGAGTCCTTTGGGCGCCTCCTGAGGCGCCTGCAGGGTCTGGGGCAGAGTAGGGTCTGTGTCCATGTCCTTGAGCATGGTCAGTTAAACAGATAGCACCAGTTGGGAGGCTCAGGGCAGGAGACTGAGGCTCTCAGACTCTAGCACCCACTTGCCCGGCCCTCCTGGGAAGAGACTCGCTTCCTTGACGGCTGCTCCGGCAGCAGGAGCCTCTCCCTCACCCCTTGGCCCTGGGGAAACTGGAATAAAAAACAAAGTGAGGTCTGACCCAGGGCACCAGCTGCCCCAGGGGGCCGGGTCACTACTGGGCAGTGAAAAGATGCTGCACCAGATTGAAGGACTGGAGGTGGGAAGGACAGGCTGGGGGAGGGGACCTCCTGCCCAGGAATGCCTACACAGGAAGAGCCTTTCAGATGCACAACCCAGGGCATTGTGTAGCTGCTGATGGGTTCCCCAACCCCCAGAAACCCCAGGAGTTGGCCCCCTGCTGCTTCTGAGTTTTGGTGGCTCAGGGGGAGGAGACAGGAGAGAGAGACTAAGAGAGGCCAGGCCACAGAAGTCTCTCAGACATGGGAGGTAGGCAGTGTGTGTGGTGGGGGACACTGCCCTGGGGTCAGGAGCCCTGGTCCCAGCCCTGCGGCTCTCTTCTTGTGTCGTCTTGGCAAACCATCCACCTGGGTCTCTTCTCAGTAGGGACAATGCTACCCCACGTACCTCTGAGGGAAAGGCTAGGGGTGAAAACAGATAACGGATAGAAAACACGTTTAAAAAAGTCTAAAGCGCTATTAGAACGCGAGGCAGTGCTGTCATCAGAGATGTTACCCCTTAGCTCATTCCTCATCTCCTCGTCACACTTCTGCTTCCTTACTCAGCATCCCTTAACCTTAGGACCTCATTTATCTCAGAGGGCTTCTGAGACTCCCTAGTTGCTTCCCCCGATCACAAACCGGGATTCCAGTGGCCAAACGGGCACACTAGGTGTCTGAGGGGGATGCCCGAAGCCTCTCGCCCCCTCACCGTCCGTTCTGGCACCTTCCCTGAGGGAAGACGCTCAGCCGGCCCTTTGGTCCACCCTACGAGATGAGCTGGCCATCCATTTAGGCCGGACAGGTCTAGGGGACCCCTGTGCGACCCTTGGGGGACCCTGTCTGGAGTGCAATTCCTCTTCCCAATTTCCAGCAGGTGGCAGATAGAGGGAGGGAAGGCGCGCCGAGAACCAGGGGCAGGATCAGGGGTGCTCCGGCCGCCCCCCAGGCCCGCCCCCCCCCCGCACCCCTCCTCCCGCCTCCGGGCCCTCCCCTCCCCCAGCCCAGCCCTAGTCGTGCTCGGGCGGCGCCTGGAGCGGCCGAGGGGCGCCGAGCCCGGGGCCGCCGCTGTGCACACGCAGATGGTCCTTGAGCGACTCCTTGTAGCGGAAGCTCTTGCCGCACTCGCCGCACGTGTAGGGCCGCTCGCCCGTGTGGATGCGCTGGTGCTTGAGCAGGTTCTGCTTGCGGATGAAGCTCTTGCCGCAGAGCGCGCACTGGAAGGGCCGCTCGCCCGTGTGCAGCCGCTGGTGGTTCTGCAGGTGCTCCTTGCGGCTGTAGGTCTTCTCGCACTCGGAGCACTTGTAGGGCCGCTCGCCGCGGTGCGTCATCTGGTGGCGGATGAGGCCCGAGTGGCAGTTGAAGCTCTTCTCGCACTCGGCGCACTCGTACGGCCGCTCCTTGGTATGGCTGCGGTGGTGGATGATGAGGCTCTTGCGCACGCCGAAACTCTTGCCGCACTCGGGGCACGAGTAGGGCTTGCTGCGCGCGCCGTGCAGGAGCAGGCTCCGCCGCAGGCCGCCCGGGCAGCAGCTGCCGCAGCCGCCGCCCCCGGG